TGCCTAGCTCTAGTATTGACCTAGCCCCAGTTGAACTTTGGGAGATAACTTCAATTTAAGAACAGGGAGGACAAAATGCCCAGACAAAGACCATCCCCAAGTGGGCACAGCTAGGGAGCTCTGGAAGTCACCCCCACAGTAACAGGAGAGAGGAATAAGACTACTTTTGTGGACATGGTACCTATGAGGGCCTTCAGCATTTGTTACCAACACACCCTGTCAGATTGCACAAGACTAGATGTGAGTGCCACAGAGGGGAGCTGGGATCCTGATCCCTGGCTTCCCACATGAAACACACCAGGAACCGTGCCAGGGTGTAAACAGAGGGTAAAATTCCAGGCCCTTCACCATGATTGCACAGTCAGCATCAGAATCTCTTCCAAGTAACAGCCAATGTCACCGGTGTCTGTGGAAATCCCCCTCCATGATAGGGGCTTCTGCTCCGACTGCAGGAATAACCCCAGAGGGTCACCTCTACATCACATCTACCTGAATGACCAGAGGGACCCCAGGCTCATAAGACCTACAGAGCAAGTGGGCTGCTCGGGCCCTGATACAATGTGTGTTCTGTCAAAATCCACTCATCTCAGCCCAAAAGACAGAGGGAGATTACACTACAAAGTCCAACTGGACTTAAACCCAACACTGCAGAACAAACCACTACCCTATGATATCACCAAGAGAAGGCTACCTACTAACAAGGCCCTCAAATAAAAGTGGAGGAGCTATTCATTCCAAGAGATGCCAACATGGAAACACAAGAAATGTGAAAAAACAGGCAATAGGACACCTCATAAATCTCATAGTTTTGTAGATCTATCAAAGTGGGTGAAATGATGGAAAAAGAATTCAGAAGAGTAATTTCTAAAAGGCTCAGTGAATTTCAAGAGACTACAGGTAAACAATTGAAGAGAATGTGGAATGTGAATGAGAAATTCAGTAAAGGAAGGTTTTGAAAAAGAACTAAACAGAAATCTTATAAATGCAAAACCTGGTGAGTCAGATAAAACTTTGTTGAAAGCCTCAGCAACATGCTAGATCAAGTGGAAGGAAGAGTATCGTAATTCAAAGACAGATCTGGTGAGGTATTACATTCAAACAGAAATAAAGAATAATAAAGAATGTACAGAACCTACAAGATCATTGGATCATCATTCACAGATCAGATATCTGCATCATCATCGTCATCATCATGCCTGAGGGGAAGAAGCTATAGGCTGAAGGCAAAAACCAAGCAGAACAAAACCCTGTTCAGTGAAATAATAGAAAATTTCCCCGATCTTGGGGCAGGCACAGACATCCAGGCATAGAAGGCATTTAGAACCCCAAACAGACGCGGTCACCAAAAAACTCTTCATAACCTATTACGGTTAAATTGCCAAAGTACAGGACAAAGAAAGAATGTTAATGTTAATATCCTCAAAAGAGGAGCAGCAACCCACATTTTTTTCAAATTATTTTAGTATTTTAGCATTTTACCCAAGAGTACATTTCACGGCATCAGGAAAAGGCCATCCTGGTCACATATACTCACCACACATTATCCATGAGGGGAAAATGGTGATGATAACATAAATTGCTGAATCACCCACATAACTTCCTGAACTCAACATTTATCACAAACTAGCTCTCTTGCCATCCCATTATAGATCTTTTCTACTGGCATTTCCCTTAATTCTTTTATTTTAATTTGTTCTAATTAGTTATACATGACAATAGAATGCATTTTGAAATATCACACAGAAATGGAATATAACTTCTCATTCTTCTGGTTGTACGTGATATAGGATTACACAAGTCACGTAGTCATATGTGTGCGTAAGGTCATAATTTCCCAATTCATACTATTGTCCTTCCTACTCCTGTACCCCCTTTCTTCCCTTCACTCCCTCTGTCTAATCCAAATTATTCTTTCCTAGCCCCTGGCCCTGCCATCATTATTGTGAATTAGCATCTGCATGTCAGAGAAAACATTTGACCTTGAGTTCTTTGGGATTGGCTTATTTCACTTAGCATGATAGGCTCCACATCCATCCATTTAGTAGCAAATGCCATAATTTCATTCTTCTTTAAGGCTGAGTAATATTCCATTGTGTGTATATATGTCACATTTTCTTTATCCCATCTTGTTGAGGGGCACTTAGGTTGGTTCAATAGTTTAGCTATTGTGAATTGAGCTGCTATAATCATTGATGTGACTGTGTCACTGTAGTATGCTGATTTTTTAAGTCCTTTGGGCATAAACCTAGGAGTGGGATAACTGGGTCAAATGGTGGTTCCACTCCAAGTTTTCTGAGGAATCTCCACACTGCTTTCCATAATGGTTGTACCAATTTATAGTCCCACAGCAATGTATGAGTGAACCTCCCCTGCCCCACATCCTTGCCAATATTTATTATTGCTTGTATTCTTGATAATTGCCATTCTGACTAGAGTGAGATGAATTCTTAAGAGCAGTTTTGATTTGCATTTCCCTAACTGCTAGTGATGTTGAACATTCTTTCATATATTTGTTGATTGATTCTATTTCTTCTGTGAAGTGTCTGTTCAGTTCTTTAGCCCATTTATTGACTAGGTTATTTGTCCAAATCACATTTAGAGACAAACCTATTAAAATATCAGTGGATTTCTCAGAAGAAATTCTCAAGGCCAGGAGGGGATGGAATGATGCATTTCAAGTCCTCTAAGAAAATAACTGCTGTATCCAACAAGAGTGCTGTATCCAACAAGATTATCTTTCAGCACTAAAGGTTAATTAAGGACCTTCCAAGATAACCATAATCTAAGATAATTTGTGATCGCTAGATTGGCATTACAAAGAAGGTTAAGGAAATCCTATATCCAGAAGAAGAAGAAAAATAGACACAATCATGAAAGCACACAAAAGAAGAAATCTCACCAGAAGACACACAAGTGAAAAATAGGAAAGAATTAAACATAATCAACGCAGTAAACCATCACACTTCTAAGATAAATAAGGAAGAAGTAAACAAAGATTACTCAAAACAACCAGATGAAAAACAACAGAAAGACAGGAGGTAGTACACACCTTTTAATAACCCAGAATGTAAAGGGGTCTTCATTCTCCAACTGAAAGGCACAGACTGGCTGAATGGATTAAAATACAATACCTACAACTAAGTTACCTATGAGAAAATCACCCTATCTGCACATGCAAATGAAAG